CAATTAAGAGCCCATGCTTAAACGACACATAGGTTCAGAAACTTTCATATTCTTTCCTCAACACAGACGTTGTCATCGAGGATGCATCTGTAGTGATAACTATAGATTTATTGCATCTTGGTCAATAAGAAAGTTAAATTATTGAATTTTCAATACCATGGTATTTGCATATGTTTACTATGAAAACTGACTTAGTACCGTGAGTACGGAAGATAAAATCTCTTCCTGGTTTTCACGCCTAGTCTAGATAAGACGTAACCGGTTCATTTGCAGGTAATGGCAAACTTTCTGGAAGTTGCTCACCTCATGTTTAGAAGACATCATTCTAGTGTTTTTAAAGTAGATGAACATAATGATGTCCCTGATATCATAAACGAAGCATTAGAGAAGTTCTTGCGCCTGAATCAACGGTAACTTGCTCAGCCCTAAGATGGACTATAACTGTATAATGCAGAATGGAGCTGAAAATATGCCTTCATGAAACTAAACACTGACAGAAATAATTCAACCTGTTATTTATGTGGTTATACTTTCGTGCAAGTTGATTTTACCCATCCCATCGTCTCATACCCTGTGTCACAATGGTTGGCTTTTGAGGGTAGGGGGGACAATAATACCACGGGATGTTTACGGGCACTGCGGGTCAAGATGTTTATGTTCTGTTACTTCAGGCTCTTCAGCTGAATAGCTGGCCATCACAATTTAGCATGTCTTTGTTGAATGTGGTACGATATGTTAATTGTAGAACAAATTCAGTTTTGGGGAGGCAGTAGAATAAAGCTTGCAATACTATTTTGGGAGGTTATAATTTGACCTTCGTCTATCACCTTGAACTTGATGACAAACATAGTAAGAATATTTTGTTCTTGTTAATTTCTCATGACCATAGCGTTACAATTTATATACGCTACGTTCTTTGGTCACTATTTGCCCAAGAGATCCAAAATATAAGATAACTGACCCTCAACTACAATTAAAATTGTTTTCAATAAATAGTCTTTTCCTTCAAGGCAGATCCTTTTTGAAACCAGTCATGTTTAGATATTGCGTTGAAAGAGTAATAGCTTTTAAGGTTATTAATTTTAAATAGGTTAATCATTATTTTTTTAAAAAATACAATTAGCTTGAAACCCAATCACTCTTAAGTTACCTCAGATATACATGACTCTATATTATCAAATATCGACATCTCTAAAGTAAAATAACTAATGGATTCCGAGTTTCGATACTACATACAACGAGACTCATTTCCTTGGCGGTAATGACCCCAACAGTCGGAATTACTTCGGTGATTAACGACGCTTCCTTGCTTCAATGTCAGAACCTTTGTCGAAAATCCACGCAAATATCTAATGGTTATGAATTACAGTGTTGCGTCTGGGTTTATATTTAGGACTCGAACAAAGCGTGGTTAGCACAGGCTTATACCGTTTGACAGTTCAGGACGTATTTATTAAAATTCACTCTGGTTGTCTGAACGAGGAGGTGCCATCAAAGGCTAATTATGTCGTATCCATCGTTGAAGTTTCCTAAAATTTGATATTTTCGCCGATAAGATCATTTTTCTCAAATTAAACAAGTATGTAATTTTAGAGGCGACTCTGTGATCCAATTATTAGTTTTAGTAGAACGGGCGGATGAATAAAACACTGATATTAAGTTTCATTGCCCACGTGCCACAATGCAGCTCGGGTGGACCAATAAATGACAACACAAAATGAACATCTGTCAAACTAGCAAAATAGAATCAATTATAATTGATTATGAAATGCATAGTTTGTAGAAAAAATTAAAAGCATGTTTCGCAAGTGGAAAACTATTTTAGTGCTCTTAGAGACAAAACAGTCAACATTTTGTTTTCGCAAAAGTTTCAATTTTATCCATGATTTAAATTTTACGTGTGCTTTACATGTTTTAAGTGTACGATACTTGTTTCCATTATTTTGAAATGGTTATTTATATTAAATACGATGAACGCGCGTAGAAACTAAAACGCTTTTAGTTACGTACTTTAGGCTGTAAATTAAATATATACATTGCACACGTCGATAGTCCGACTTTATTTTCATTGAAATAATTAAGATCCTTTTGCATATCCATAGCTTCATTTACATACAAAATTCCTTTGGGGATTGTTTAATTTATATTTTAATAAATCGACTGTTAAAGATAATGCTACCGATGTAACATTTACCTTTTCAAAGTACGACTATTTTGTTACTACAATATAATTAAAAATGAAGAACATTCTTAAAATTTGTGAACTCACGTACACAAATAGTTTAGATATTAAAGCACGCCACATTTTCTGTTATTTGTCTAAATATATTAACTGTCGAAATTTTCGAGAAGTTCCCAGACCTAAATCTTAAAAAGGTTGCAAGAAAACTTGACATGGGCCTCAGAATAATAACCCTATCAAATTCCAATCAAAACTATGTTCCTATTTTCGTAATTTCTTGTGAATAATCCCATTGAAGGTTGGATCCGCCCGCTAGAGTCCGGAACCAAAGATAACTCGGGGGACTTGAGTGATGCACAGTAGAACATGTCAAAATGTCGGCTTTGTTCTAGGCAAATTCCTTGGGCTACTTTTGGCGCATCTTCCCACACTCTTTTATCAGGTAAGTATTGCCGTATGTGCCCGCATGTATTGCGTACCGAACTGCAAGTAGAGTAATGTTGGATCTATCATTTTAAAAATGCTCGGACTGATTAAGTTCTATTTTTGTTCTCCTGAAGACAGACAGAAACGAATAATTAGACGATGATTTTATCTGCGAGAGCAGATTGAAATACATAAGAAAACGTTGTAAATACCGGGTGACTCACAAATATATTTTAAGTCTACGGAATGCGATCCATGTGGCCTCTATTTTCACAAAGATACGAATAATGTGGGAGGGCGAAGTAATTATATGAAAAATGATGCTGACCAAACATTTACCAGGTTTTTCGATCAAATTTAGATTATGTAAAGGTTTAGAGTAGGAAGGTATGCAAAATTAGAAGAGTATGTATGAAATTAGGAATTTTTTTTTTACTGTACGACGAAAATTTTGTACTTAAAAATATGCCGAATCTGTTCATGATGAAAAAAAAGAAATTAGGTATGGTATTAAAAGAATAGTAACATTCATCTGTAAAATTTGTGTCAACAACTTGGTAGTGGTGGTACATTGTATAATAATTTTATTCAGGAGAGAGAGAGAGAGAGAGAGAGAGAGAGAGAGAGAGAGAGAGAGAGAGAGAGAGAGAGAGAGAGAGAGAGAGAGAGAGAGAGAGAGAGAGAGAGACTATTCATGCATATTAAGTCCTGTCTATTTTGAACAGTATTAATTATATATATAATTAATATATTTTCCATGGTTTTCTTACCGCGGTCAGTGGTTCGATCTATGAAATAAAGCAGCAGTAGTTTGCATTTATATTTTTTATGATATGTAGATAGATAGATAATGAATAGTTTATGATAGGTACTCAAATAGATAATGAATAGTTTATGATAGGTACTCAAATAGATAATGAATAGTTTATGATAGGTAGTTAGATATATAATGAATAGTTTATTTAGTCAGTCAGCTAGGTAGGCAGTAATGTTGTTCTCTAATTCATATTTTGTATTTCTGAACGGAAAATAACTCAGAGGGATGGGCTCTGTGTGGCCATGTGCCCGCCTTGAAATTCTGCAATTGTTTAAAATTATATTAAAATTGACTATTCTAGACCACATTTCACAGAAATAACCAAAAAATAAAACTCGACCTGAGAGACAAAATAAACTCTATTAGAGTATATTCTTGTAAAATAAATAATTTAAAAACTCAGTGTACATAGCCAAAATATTCCGAATGTCTATAACATCGATACGGAAATCAATAGAAGTAAGAACAAATTTATATGCATATAATAATCACGATATTTTTCCTTATTAATTACCCAACACCATTGAACACTATTTTCAAATCCTAAATACATTTTGGACAAACTTTTGTTAAAGGATTCCAAATAAAAGACGAAAGTTTACAAATCATTTGAGCTAGAACAAAATGAAATCCGTATTCGTGGAGTAACCGTCCGTATGTCCGCAACAATGATTAAACATTCGCATTCTTGGATGGTTTATCCATATTTCCGCAACTATCGTGCAAAATTATAACTCATGGATTATCCGTTTGCATATCTGCAACTATGATGCAGAATCCACACAATGGTGATTGAATTGCGTTGTACGTGTAGTGGGAGAGAGGGACAGGGAGAGGGATAACACATTACTTTCGATTTAAAATTTGCTCAGTTGAGAGATACGCAACGTTCTCTTTTAGTACTTAAACGGTGGATCGAGCTACAGTTACCTTTTAAGAATATATTTTTGATTACTTGTGCATTTGTACTGATACTCTCAGCATCGCTTGAAAAACAAATTTCAAGTCAGCGTTCACTTTTTTACAGATGAAGAAAAAGAGACATGAGTCGAATCCAACTGCACCTAACAAAGACCCAGATCTGCCATTGTATAATGCGCCAGCAGATCTGAATTTATGCAAATTGTTGAGAACAATGCGTAGAACAAACAACATAGAACCTTATCTGCAGGCTCATTTTTGTGTTTGCAATTTTACTCTACTTAGAGTAGGTATACTTTTATTGCTGAAATAACTTAATGTCTGCAGTCACAAACCTCCTACCAAAATTAGAATAGTACTTACTATTGGTGTGTGTGTGCGCGCGCGCGTGTTTGTGTGTGTGTGTGTGTGTGTGTGTGTGTGTGTGTGTGTGAGAGAGAGAACTTAAAAATTGTTCAGTCATAACACTGCGATGTCTGCACTGTGGCAGTTTATAGTGGTGTATATCAATGGGGCATCATGCCGCAGACATTTAGCACGATTTTCCACCCAGTCGTATTATCATGACACCAGGCCGACAAATCCTAACCTTGACCTCTTAATGCTGAGCGACTAGCAAGGTAGCTGTTAGCACCATTTTTTTAGTCTTTGGTATGACTCAGCCGGGGTTCGAACCGACGACCTCCCGCATCCGAGGGGGACGCACTAAGCATTATGCCACCGGAGCGGTGACCTACTAATGGCTGTCTTTCCCAAGGTAGTATAAGTCATTCGGATTACTTGATCACTATTGCTAGTTTATTGGTTAGCATTTTAAGTTAAATAAGTGCTGAATTCTATGAAGTAAAACGAAGAAATCGTGAATATAACTGAACTTAAATGCAGCATAAAATTGTGAACAGTATTGTTAAAGTTAGTAACAAGTGAAATCACCTACTTAAACACGAAAATGACCCAAATCTGGCCCTGCTTTCTGTTACTCTAACGAATAGTTTCTTCATTTTCATATAATTATTGATATGTTTAAAATGAAGATTAAATCCATAATTCCTGTTACTGTAAATATTGGTTTACTCTAGCTTTATGTGCATTCCATTATGTAAAATTTGAAGTAATGATCAAATTTATTTATATACAAGTCAGAAAATCGGATATTTATGTGATATTTATCTTTCGATGAAAATTAATAATATAATTCCACTCGACCCACGAGAAAGGCAGCGGTTTTTAAGGACTGTATTTATGATGGAATTTATTTGAATTTTTAGGCATAAATACCGAGTTAAGCACTTCGTCAATTCAACTTATTCCGAGCTTTGATTGACTGAAAAAGGTGATGACGTCTATGATAGAATTATGGATAGACTGATATGACACGTGAGACCGAGCACATGTCATCGATATGTCGTGCTCAAGTCGCTTACAAATAGGAAGTGCCGATATAAAATGAAAGAACATTGTCTGGGTGATGCTAAAATTAAAATGTACGCGTAATTAACAACGAAGACATGATCAATCATATAATGTATCCCCGATGATTGAGAAAATAGTATTCTGGCATATCGTTTTAGACACGGAAGGCGGTGACAAATTTTTTTAAACTAATTTTACAGTGATTTGTCATATAAATTGAGCACTAATGATAGCGTAATTGCACCCATGATCCTCGAAAGTCGCAGTGATCAGCCTACCTTGCACTTACTTTTGTAAAGAAAAATCGACAATTGGATGTAACGGTGACATTAACCCAGAAACATTATTTGCCTCAAAAGTTGAATCTGGACTTTTGCATGCCAGGGTAATTTTACTTAATGTTTTTAGTTATTAAGCAAGATCAAATATGTTCTCAACCCACCTTGTCCTCAGGTGAATATTTGACAGTATATACGTGTATGACAATCCAAAACTTTTTAAAATTATTTATGTACGGCTTTTCCATTTCGACTGAGTTCGTCTAGATGAATTGTCATAATTGCACGAATGGAGCATCGCTTCACGAATATGGCACAATACTGAAGCTACTAACGAATTAGGACTGGCGCTTATGCAACATATAAAATAACTTAAGCGCTAATTTGCGAATTTCCAGTTTATTTCATGGTTTGAAACAATTATAGGATTCATATTTCGTATCGTTGATTTCTGTACTGTTGCATGTTACACTCACACAAGGGCGAAGTAATTTAATCAGCGGGAAATGAGGTATGGATGCATACTTTCCTTGGGTCTCATAAGGTCGAATACAGGGTTATCGCATACTTCATAAATCATTTGTTTTAATCGGTGCTTTGATGTTATTTTTGACTGTTGGTAAAAAAAATAGTTTAAGCATTCGTTCCTATGAAATAATATAAATTCTTGATGATAATCAATTTTATGACTTTAAACAAAACTGATGTTAATTGTTATGTGTGTCTGTAAATATTTGATAACCATTCAGTTTCATAATTGTAGTTTCAAAATGAACTTTTAAAATATTTTTAATTATTTACTTGTCAATGGATGAGGAGCATGCTGTACCTAACAATTGTACTCTATGTTCTGATTCTGTTCGTTTTAGTGTCACATACTTCCAGTTAGGTGTTCCTCCATGCTGTAAAATGTCTGACTTCACAATGCGCAGAAAGTCACCACACACTGAATAACTAGCATTATTACTGCACATTAAAAAATACTGCTGACGTATATCAGTGTACATTTGTTTGAAGAACGTTTCTCTGTAATCTTCCCCTTATCCTTCATCATGGTCGTTATGGTTCTTTTATCATCATCATCATCGTTGTCGTCATCATCATCATCAAAATCAGAACCATCATTATTATGACCATCGTCATCTTCTTCTGAAGGACACACGGTACTCAGTTCCCATTGTAAATCTATGCAAAGACCATAATATTAAAAATTAAATAATTTTACATATCTCAGAGCTCATGATCAAATCTCTATTTATCGGTATAGAAGCAACCTCGATAATAGCTTCTAGAGAAAACCACATGAGCCGCGTAAGTTTCTGGAACTACGTATGTTTAAAACATTTGCTTTCATATCCGCACAAATTAGGTGCTAATTTCAGAAATGAATGTTCCAAACTCAAGTCAGTTAAAGAATTGAAATTCCACCAATCAAACGACGCCTCTATGATTTGCAGTTACAACTAGGATAAGCTCTCAAAAGAATCTTTTTACTAAAATATAACCTTCATTATCAACCAATCATAGCCAGCCAAACGCACATATGCTCTATTTTATACTCACTCATTTCCAGACTGGTTCCCATTTTTCCATACATTTAGTACCATGAATCGCAAGCCTGTCTCGAACTAGTAACCCTATAATTGCTAAAAATAACAAATAAAATATCGTGCTTTGGATTAAACGATATCTCAATCATACGGAGCTTTACAAGTGATAAGAATTCAATTTCGGAAAGAAAAATAATGTTTTCTCTTATCTAATGCCACAGTTTGGTTATCATTCAAGGTTTTGTATCACTAATAGTTAACATGGATATTATAGATTCACCAATAAATGATAGTGACTTCTATTTGCCTTCCGAAACAACCATTTTGTTTTTAAAATACACGTGACACATGTCTATTTATTATATACTTAAACGTGAAGTATAGAGACTAACTGGCGAAATATTTTTTTATCTCTTTTCTCATTAATAGATTTACACAGGTGAAAAATACATCCTTAAATTTTCACACGCAAAAATATAAGATTTCCAATCATGTCATGCGAAGCTTTTTTGTGTGTGCTTACAAAAGTTGTACATGTCACAACAAAAACAAGTACTTTGTGAGCTAGAACAAATGAATAGAAATTGCCTTACATTTCAGACATTGAAAGTAACTTTTCATAAAGAAATTTTACCAGAAATCCTTTGATAAGCTCTGAAGCTACTTCCATTTGCTTCCTCGACAACAACGAGAAAGCCGATGTGACGCACTGATGAACTGATGAATCGGACTTGCGTTGTTTTCATATAGCGTATAAAAGTTTACAAAATTTTAAAAAAATGTAATTTACTAAAACAGATTAAGTCAACCTAGTCCTTCAGCTTTCCTAAGTCCTGTATATTTATAGAATCAAACTATACAAGTGAGGTGAGTGACGAAAAAAGGGGGTAGTTGGTGAGCTGAAGAGTGAGATTAATCCTTTAAACTATAATTCAAAAGCGGGTTTGGCATATCATAAACTGAACATTTTCTTTTTCTACTTAATGCCTGATATATTTTATCTTTTGGCTCCAAGAACTATATATTTCAAACCATGGCTTACCACTCAATACAATCTTTTTTGGTACCACACGATGAAATATGTCCGGTATCAGCATAGGAAAAGATTATTTCCTTTATGTATTTTTCTCACATACATCATGAATAAATCTAGATGGTAGTGAATATAATTTTATTTTTGGCTACTGCAGAATTTACATGCATACTCTTTTATTCTTTCTACCTGACACATATCCGAAAATTTAGGATATGTAAGCCAGAGAAAGTCAAAGTTGACTTATCAGTTGTTTTGTATGCAATTTCATCTGGTAGATTAGACAATATTGTATGCACGTTTCCAAAATTCCATTTTCAATATCATTTATGTAGAACACAGACGTGGCGAATTCTTAGACGGAACCAACTTTAAAATGGAATCAAAATAGTTGCACAAATGATGCATTTTCTTTGATTCAAATGGAACGAATTTCAATGAGTTTTTAGAAGTTTTAGAATATTGTTCATTCCAGCATACATTGTAAAGGCATAAGTTTTCGAAAAGAACTGTATATTTGTAATATCAAATGATGTTAGACACGCTTCTTAGCATCTTCAGAAATCGTTGATATTCAACTTACAGTTTCATACCAGACTAACCTGGCGTTTGAAACGCGCTTTCGTGGTATTTTACGTGTCAGCTTTCTTCTCCAAACTACACGCTAATCGATATATTCTTTGCAGAATAAGTTGATCTCACCTCGGAAATGCCTTTTCAATGGTTCCATTATTAACCGTAATAATCTCGTGCTTGAGATAATGTTAATCTCTTCATCATAAAACTGTCAAAGAAACATAAACAAAATTTTCTACTTAAGCTGCCACAAAGAGAACAACTCCTGCAGAGGCCGTCTATAGACGCTTGTCACGGGGAAACGCGCTTTAGAACTGGGAACAATAGCCCCATAGAATTATATTAACATTTGGAAGTTTATCAGCTGAATCGATAGGCAGAGGTGAAATCCGATCTCCTATACCACAAAAGTTGGTATTTGGGTAATTGTAGTGGGTTATCCGAATATCATTTTTTAAAACATAAGCCTCGACGTTTTCGTCCGAACACGGTTCCAGATGGCTAGCACGCTCTCGACCCAAGTCCTGTTGCTTATCTAAATTTTAGAAGCATCCAGGGAAAATTAAACCACTAGAATTACGTCAAATTAGGAAAAAGCGGGGTAAATGATGAAAGCTTATCATGAATGTTGAAAACTATCGTAACATTCAACTTTGAACACCACCATATACGAGTTATTAATGAGTTTTTGATAATCTCTTTTATCATTGCCTTTGTTGAGATTCAAAACAATATTCATTTGCCTTTTGTAGACGTTGATGTGCCGACGTGTCTTGTCGCTGCAGTGTCAATTTTATGATCTTAACGATAGCTCTCGTTTGTATTAAAGCTTTATTTGTTACTGTGTAACAATCGAGTATGGCTCCTACCAAAAGTA